TCAACCAAAAGACAGTCTTATATTAACAAAGAATGCATTCTAGCATTTCCTAATAAATTATGCAAATGAGGTCCTGATTTGAATAAATTATGTTTAATGATGTTCACCTCAATTTAACTTTCAAATACCACAAGTATGAAATTCAAGGCAGTTATCATTACATAATTATAAAATTTTCTCATTAATTATGCAAATTAAGTCATTATTAACATAATCAACATCTTCCTGTGTTTCTCTCGTTGTCAATTACCAATGTCACAAGCTTCAATTGTCCTATTATGGAATGCAGCTGATTTATAGAATTTCCCCATAAATTATGCAAATTACATCCATATTTGCATAATTGTCACATAATTATATTAAGCATCACGTAAGCTACCTACATACCAAAAATCACGACGATCCGTCGACCGGTTCTTGAGTTATCCCCTTTTGAATATTTTCAAGAATTTATCCCTGCAGTTCCAGAGCAAGCCGCAGCACAAGAGCTACCTACCATCTAAATTTCATCACCATAGCATGTCTAGATCATGAGATATCAAAACCGGAAGTTCAGCTGCAGTACCATAACAAGCCGCTAGGGGGTCCAAAATCTAATCATTTTGAGGTCTCATCAAGACCTACCCACCTACCAAGTATCAAGACAATCCATCCAGGCCTTCTCAAGTTATCGTGTTTACAGACAGACAGACAGACAGACAGACAGACACACACACACACACACATACACGAACGCCCCTGAAAACATAACCTTCTTGGCGAAGGTAATAATCTTCTTTTCTTTGCCTTTAGATATCCGACTTGTGGGTGGAAATTCCTCCAATGAAGGCAGAGTGGAGGTGTTCCATGACGGACAATGGGGGACCGTCTGTGACGATGATTGGGGGCTGGAAGAAGCCCACGTGGTCTGTCGTCAGCTGGGATATCCCGGTGCAACAGAAGCTCGTGTAAGGGCAGCCTTCGGGCAGGGGTCTGGACAGATCTGGCTGAACAATGTAGGGTGCGATGGTTCCGAGACAACTATTTCTGACTGTGGACACGGAGGATGGGGATTACATAACTGTGAGCACGGCGAAGATGCTGGAGCAGTTTGTGAACGTGGTATGTCCAATGTTTAACACACAGACACAGACACAAACATAAATATATATACATATATTTCTATATATATATATAATTTTTTTTTAAGTTCCTCCGTCAAGGAGGTCATGTTTCAGGTGTCGCGTTTTTAGTTCTGTGGGTCTGCTGCTAAAGGAAAGCCGATCTTATAACTGCACAGCTAGATCTGTATATGAGCCCTCTATGAATTTATATAAATATATACGACGTAAGATATTCGTTTAAGAAAGAAAAATTCATTTGTATGCGGTGCAACTTAATCGTCTGTGCTTTGGACGCCTTCTCGCGTAAACATGTAAACAAACATGAGCACAAGGTCACACAGAGCATTTACATGTAGGTGACACTGTATATCTCGCCTGATATTAGAATTATTCGTTCTGAACTTGGTTAAAACATCTATTGATGCTTATGCATGAACGCCTCCTCGCGTAAACATATAAACATGAGCACAAGGTCGCACAGAGCATCTAGGTGACAATGTATATCTCGCCTAACATTAGGATTATTCGTTATGAACTTGGTTGATACATCAATTGATGCTTATGCATGAACATGTATAAATGAATCGATATGCTGAAATCATGGAATATCACCGATTTACGTCTTATCTAGGTAAAAAGATCACAAACGTTTGATTTGTGAAACGATTCATCAAACCCTCGGTGGCCTATTGACTATTCCAACCGTTACATATGCACCTTAAAGCGTTACACAAATTCGTTAGAGTTTTGGGTGTACAGTATAATGATAATGATAATAATTAGAAAGGCCGACATTTGCTTGGGAGCAAATACAGCATATTTCAGTCCATCTCCCTCGCTCCCACGCAAAAGTGGACTATTCCAAACTTACCCCAGTGCAAAACTGGCAAAGGTTCTCAAATAAATGAATTAAATAGTAGCTATATGAGAACAAAGATGCAACAACAAATACTTTGAATCACGAAAGCTTTACTAATCTTATTACAGGTATGCAAAAACTAACAATGATGAGATTTGATACATTTTGAGGGTCTCAGGCACATAAAATGGAATGTGTGGGTCATTACGCACCACTTAGGTGCAATGTGACCTCAGGTAACCCCCAATGGAACACGTGTTCCATGGATGGAACCGGCCATTCTTTAGATAGAACATGGAACGGGTAGCACTTTTGGCCCTTTTTTTGCTGAAAATAGCCATTGAAGTCCCCCAAATGAGTCATTTGAAAGTGGTGTATGCGAAATATGTGACTGCTATCCTGTAGACACATGTTCAAGGTACCCTTATACCGAATTTCAGATCATTTGGTTGTAAAACCAGGGCTCAGGATACAAAAATCCATTTTTTTGGCGAAAAATGCCCCAAAAAAACTTCATAAAAATTTTTCAAAGGCATGTATCAAAAAAATGAAAAAAACGCCTACGGGTATTGGCCCACTCTACCTTCATGCCAAATTTCAAGTCATTTGGCTGAATGATGGCGGAGTTGAATCCCTCTGACTGTTTGGCAGGAGGAGGAGGAGGAGAAGAAGAAACATGAGAGAACACAATATATTTCATCCATACCATGGTATGGACTGAAATATAATAACTTTATTGCACAACGGATGTAACGGGTACAACGTTTGGCAAAATATACATACAAAGTTGGTGATGCTAACAATATCTAACAGTTCTAACAGTATATTTAGAAGTGACATTTCTAACTGTTCTGCTTTCATATATATCAGTTAACATACCAATTATACTAATCTAACTCTATTGATAGTAATATGATATTGTGTCAGGAATGTATCATATTTTCTCGTTTTGTCAGCGAATTGTGTATAAGTTGGTCTACATATGTGGATATATTGATAGGATATGATAGTAGTATGTTGAATATCTCTGTATATGTATGAGGTAGTATCGGTCTTACGTGTAATATATTGTAACAATCTTTGTCGGTATTCATCATAATTGGACAGTCTATTATAAAATGTAATTTGTTTTCAATGTCTTTATTGCACGTGGGACACAGTTTCTAATTGGCCATGGCTGGTGACCTTTTTCAATTTGCAAGGAGTCCATGGCACTAATCCTAAGTTTTGTTATGCTGTTTCTGAATTATTTGTTTTAAATTGGGCTGGGCACATAAAGCACAAGACAAAGTTCATTCATCGTTCATTCGTAACTTTTGGGTGCGTTGAAGATAACTACCTTGTTCACGTGCACACTAACAATTCAGAATGACCTGAACATCACCCAGACTCAAGCAAACACACCTGTCCTTGGTGCTGAACACCATCCGCACCCAAGCAAAGACACATGTCCTTGGTGCTGAACACCATCCACACCCAAGCAAACACACCTGTCCTTGTTTCGGAATCCACACTCAAACTGGTACTGTCTACTACTTCACTAGTTACCACACTGACAGCCGAATGGTCCAGGTCATTGAGCTAAACATAAGAAAAGATCACCCTTACCCATAGCTACAACCCTATGTTTTAGGTACGGAACTGGAACACATCATTTTTCTTCTGCCTTAATATCTCACCTATCCGTCAAGCTGGAACATTACCCTGTTCCTTCTGTTTCTGTATAGCCGGTATAACCGCCCTTTGAAGTAACGCAACTACTTCGACAAAGAATAGCTGTGCTTCTATCATGATGTTAGACACGAGAGCAATGTCATCTGCGTAGTCAGTATCTATTAGTAGCTCGGCTGGATGCCTCCTACATCTTCTTGGTCAAGTACAAAGCCAACTTGTTCAGATGCATCAGTATCCAATCTCATAATCTAATGATACTTTAAACATGAATGGACCCAAGGTGTCTCCTTGTATTACTCATGCTACAATTTCAAATAGGTCTGTGTCCCCGTCAGGTGATAGTACTAGTATCATTGTGCTACGGTATTTTCATACAAGACATTTATCGCATCTACTACATGCACTTTGTCAGGAATGCCATATGCCCTAAGTATTTCCAAGAGCTTCTACCTGTGTATCGAGCAGAATGCCTTGCTGAAGACTTAATTAAATTGTCGACAATCATGCGAGATTTCAATAACACAAAACCGCAGTTGTTTGCAACATGATGAATCGATGTATTCTTAATAACAGTTGTCTTTTTTATGAAGTGTAATGGATTTGGAGTACATGGAACGAAAAATGATTATGGAGACAAATTTGAGTTTCGGTACATGTTTCATGCCTGGATGAGCGCCCCGTTAATTTCATGATGTCTTACATGAAACATGCGCAGTGGTTTCTAGCTATCCCATTTTTCGTACCGTTATCTAAATTAAACTTCCATCTAAAATTTAAGCCTAAGTAGTAACTGTCCATTGCTTTATTTTGTAATGAAAAAATAATGCACAGTGCAAATGACAGTAAAACACACTATCGTAAAAATAGTTCTTTGTCTCCGAACATCGTGGAGTGATCTGTCAAATATTGTGTCGCGCTCAGTGGTCGCAGCCTGCAGTGGAAAGGGGCTGTTAGTACATGCTCTCGGTGTCGGGGTTTCTAGTCCGTTTTGCACAGGGTGTACTTTATATGAGGAACAGTGACTGAATATACAACCTGGACAGTTATTCAGTAAAACTAGTTGTTAATAATCTTTCTTTTCTTTGCCTTTAGATATCCGACTTGTGGGTGGAAATTCCTCCAATGAAGGCAGAGTGGAGGTGTTCCATGACGGACAATGGGGGACCGTCTGTGACGATGATTGGCTGCTGAAAGACGCCCACGTGGTCTGTCGTCATCTTGGATATCCCGGTGCAACAGGAGTTCGTGTAAGGGCAGCCTTCGGGCAGGGGTCTGGGCAGAACTGGCTGGACGGTGTAGCGTGCGATGGTTCCGAGATACCGTGGCCGACAAGGACACACCTGCGTCGTCTGCGCGCACACCTGCGTCGCCTGCGCGCACACCTGCGTCGACTGCACGTATACCTGCGTCATCTCTGCAAAGAGCTTCCTCGTCTGCGCACGAATACCTGCGTCGTGCCTGCCAAGAGCTTCCTCACGCCTGCACAGAAAGAGATTCCTCGGCGACCTCGCTGCGCGCAACGAACGCTCGCTGCACGGAAGAATACGTGTCACCCCTGCCTTGTTGAAGAATGGACGGTCCCCTATTACAGGTCAAGGGTCACAATTTGATTCCCGTCTTTTTCTGGGTTTTGTTGTGTCTGTCCNAAGGATTGGGAGCTGTTGTTCGAGCCTAGCGAATTTGAGGAGCGCAAAGCAGATCAGTAGTACTTTGCGAGGCTGTCAGCTGCACAGAGACGTCAAGAAAGCCCAGACTCTGTCACCCATGAGGACATTGAANCTTTGGAAGTGGAAGCGGAGTGGCAGACATTGCGTGCAAAAAATATCAGAACATTGCCTACAGCCATCCTCTTATGTTTGAAAGCATAAATATATGTGAGGCTGCAAAGACAAGGGGTCTCAAAACATTCAAGCTGAAAGAACTGCGAAATATCAAAGAACATTTCCATCTGCCTTTTTTTTATTCCAACATATAATCACCAGACGTGGTGACGGCACACTCAAGTTTTTTCAACTTATATTAATGCCGCCACCTACAGGGGACGAATACATGACAGGAAAATACTCATTTACACCTGAGCGAAGTGAGGAAAGTCGTGTTAAGTGCCTTTCCCAAGGGCACAAGATCGGTGGCATGTCAGGACTCGAACCCGGGACCTCTAGGTTCCGAGTAGCGCACTCTGCCACTACACCACACGACCCCACAAGCATTACATTCCATCTGCCTGTGACAGGTACAGTGTCAAGGAAAGCCTCATACATACTGTAGGACCATTGGATAGCATTGTTCAGTCCTGTTCATGTGTAAACTAGTTTATGTATGTTCTTGGTGCTCTATGACGTACTACAGTGTATGTATTGTAAGAACTAAGGCTCTAACAGCAGTTAAATGTATATCGTGAATGCCAAAATTGCATTATAAACTTGTTTTCTTGTTTATCAACTGAATCTTTATGTCATTAGTGTTCAAGTATCTTTTGTTGTGTAGAAATGGGGTGATTTTATTCTTTTGTTATAAAATGAGAAAGTTTTAGGTGAACAAGGCATTTAGGTCCTAAAAAGTATTGAGTGTCTCTGCCCTACTAACACAGAGACAGGTTTGTTTTAATGTTAACGTTATGGATTGCATTATTGATGTGCAACTGGACTTAACAAGGAAATTGTATGAGAAGGGGAAAGTAGATGAAATCATGTACAACTAATCTATGTGCTATCTTAAGAATATCTATGACTCCAATGTAGAGCCCGTTTTTGTCTCTTTAAAGTAGTTATTATATTCTTATCGTCATACATACTTCTTATTGACCAGTTGAAGTATTTGATTTTAAACAGTTTTTTACAATCTTTAAATACGTCATGGAATTATCATCATGGTGTTTTATTACCCCCAATATGGAATCCGTTTTTATTGTAAATGGCATATTTTATGTACAGTGAAATGCAAAAGCTTACCTTTTAGCTGATGAACAGATTAAATAAAGCATTTTAGGTGTAAACTGTCTAAACGTGTTTCTTAGCTTTCAGCACCCAGCTGACATGACTAGTGTCCTCCTAACCCCCATACAGAGCCTCTGATCATTGAGGCCTTCCTAGATAATAGCTATTAATGCCACTGTATTTCAATAATCAATCCAGCCAAAAAATAGTATCGACAATTGGGAAAAAATATGTACAAACTGAACATAATTCTATTTCAAGCATCCACAAATTCCCCATGCAGAGCCCACATGACTTTCTTTGCATCTACATAGTTTTTATTCAGTTGGGTAAAGATCCGGCTAAATCTCTCTGTGCAATCACATGCCATTGCTTCTTGAACCATTTTTTAAAAAACGAAAAATCCCCCAAAAGACCCTCCTCCCACGACTCCCAGTATGTGTGTCCCACGTCAATGACAATTGTTTTTTACTAAGTAGATGTTCCTCTATCCAGAAAAAGTAAAAGTGTTCACCAAAGCCACTGTGAGTCGGAGTTAATGCCTCATAAAAATGACTAAAATTTAAAGATGCCTAAATTCTGCTTTTAATGGTTCTTTCAACCCCCATGTACACCCTTTAAACATCAATGCCCAAGTCCCAAATTTTGTTATGAAAGACGTAAGACATAGGTATATATGGAAATCAAACACCAATATTGTTTTCTCTGATAGAAATTGCGGGGCAGCGATCGCAATTTTCATAATTTTGATAAGAAATCTGGAGGATTTTGAGGGTCTCCAAGGGGGTCTCCAGAACTCTGATACAAAACACACCCAGGGAGTTTTAATCATATGGCTGTTAATACTTCCCCATACCTATCCCACATACAAAATATGAGCGGATTTGGCTGACCCCCATGTTCCGGCCATTGCCTGGTTTTCTCGTGCAATGACTCTTAATGATAACTGTTAATGACAAGAGTTTGCATCGTGAGTGTCAACTTCTGGGTATTAAGAGCCCTATGTTTGTGGTTTTGGTTGGATGACGAGTCGAGTTTCTTGAAATTCCAGATGCAAGCCAGCAAACTACTGAGATACCCACGACAACTGGTTCTCAGTACACTACGGACCAGACGACACAATGGCCAACTCTTCCAGGAACAACTGCTTATCAGTACACTGCCGATCAGACGGCACCACGGTCAACTCTTCCAGGAACAACTGCTTATCAGTACACTGCCGATCAGACGGCACCACGGTCAACTCTTCCAGGGACAACTGGTTCTCAGTACACTGCCGATCAGACGGCACCACGGTCAACTCTTCCAGGAACAACTGGTTCTCAGCACACTACGGATCAGACGACACAACGGTCAACTCTTCGAGGGACAACTGGTTCTCAGTACACTGCCGACCAGACGACACAACGGTCAACTCTTCCAGGGACAACTGGTTCTCAGTACACTGCCGACCAGACGGCACAACGGCCAACTCCTTCAGGAACAACTGGTCCTCAGAACACCAATAACCAGACGACAAGCCTAGCAGGTACGGGTGACAGTCTTCATCATTCGTTAGCTGTATAAGTTTGTACCTTTTTTTATACAAGAACATATTGCAACATTGCTTGTTGCCTCTTGTTCTTCTTCAATACTTGAACTTTATGTCGTTGCTTGTTGGCTACCTGGGACCACAGCAATACAGTTTTAAAATTGTAATTAATTAAAACAAACAAGATACTTTAATATCACACTAAATACAATAAATACATTTGGTAAAACATCTGTACAAATAAATACAAAATATTAAGCATGACCAGAATATAAGACAAATTTACAATGATGCCTAGGCCTACTAATTAATAACTATCATTTCAAGGACTTATCTGTTGTTTCGAATGCTGTGTACATGTACAGATACTCTCCCAACTGTCTTGTAAGGGATACAGTTGGACCGGCTAACAAAGCTTTAAATTTGTGGGGATCAGGGCTCTTTGCGTAAATATCGGGAAGAAGTCGCTTTCTTAGCGTGCTGTAGAAGGGGCATTCATGTACAAAGTGATATTCATCTTCTATCACCCCTTCTCCACATAGTTGTCATACTCTTTCCCCTTTCTCTGTTTTTGTATGTCTTCCCTTTTCTATATTCAATGTATGTGCCGAGCATCTCAACCACGCTATCGCCTGTCTGTGGTGAAGATTAATTATTACTTTAAGATAATTTTCAACCACAAATCTGGTTTTTACCATGCTGTAGGTGGTCAGGCTGTGATTGGTTGTGATATCATTTTCCCAATAATCGATTGCCTGTTTTATCAGTCGTTTTTTGAGAATTCCAAGAAATGTTTCTTTATTGCCCACACTTTGTTCGAGCCATGCTTCACGTAGGTCAACACTGAGCAATAAATCACGTACGTTGCTTACCTAATCTCCCCTGCCCACCTGTTCTCATTCAAATAACATATTGTAACATTTTAGAGTATGTATTGTCATTCATTTCTAATAATTTCAGCCAAAATTTGACAATTCTAATTCGTCTCAGAACACCGAGGGAATGTCTACCAAGCTCCCCTCTCACTGCCGTATTAGGTGTGGACTGTCTTGACAGCTAGGAAAAATTTACAAAATTTGGTGTGTAAAATTTCTAGTTGATTAGCTTTATGAAATCCCCATAGTTCACAGCAGTACATCATGATCGGAAGGATTAGTGTGTCAAACAATTGAAACGTCAAATCAGGGGGTAACTCATCAAATTTAGCAAGATTTGTTTCCAACAGGAATAAAGCCGGAAGACCATCACCTTAGTCTTCTCCTGATTTATTGCTAGTTTCCATTTATGGAAATAAAAGTTTAATACGTTTAAAACCCGCTGTAGACCCACTACGGAGTCTGCACATAGTGCTAGATCGTCTGCAAACATTAAACTCAGAAATTCTGAGTCACCCACCTGGTTTCCTCTGCATCCATTTTCTTTCAGGTGGTTGTTCCAATCACAATAATTGCTAGAAGTACAAATCCTTATTCTGCATTAGGGGAGGCTGCTAAACCTACCGGTTGGAATTACAACACGCCGCTCCTCATCGCAGTGGTCTGTGTAGGCTGTGCTGTAGTGTTGTGTATGTGTGGCGGGTTGATGTACTTCTGCGCCAAGAGACGCCAAAGAGGACAAAAAGTGGCTCAAGATCCACAGGATTAAGACGAAGGACAACTTTACTCATAAGGCGAAAGTGGTAGAACGTTTGAGAACGTGAACAAAGAAAGCAGACTGTTTTGAGTTTTGGTTATGGCAGTAGTTTACACTTGTAGTAGTCAACGTTTACTCATTCTCTACCCATGCAATGTATTGTATTCTATATATTTTTGTTCAGTAATGGTTGATCATGTCAATCTGTACATCTGTATGTGTGTTCCCACGGGTTTCCGTTTGTGTGTTCCCACGGGTTTCCGTTTGTGTGTTCCCACGGGTTTCCGTTTGTGTGTTCCCACGGTTTTCCGTTTGTGTGTTCCCACGGGTTTCCGTTTGTGTGTTCCCACGGGTTTCCGTTTGTGTGTTCGCACGGGTTTCCGTTTGTGTGTTCCCACGGGTTTCCGTTTGTGTGCTCGCACGTGTAACTCACATTGTGGATTTGTTTACAATTTGATGTGTGGTTAGTTATTGTAACTTTCTAGTGACAAAGAAAGCTAAAATCATCCATTATTCATTCATTCGTTACTTTTGGGTGTGTTGAAGATAACTGCCTTGTTCACTTACACACTGACAAGTTAAATTGACCTGCTTTCAGAGTTGAAGACAAAGTCAGTTCAAATGATATCAGGCTTGGACAGATTTGTCCTTAAAATGACAATACCGAAACTTTACTTATAGAGTTACGAAAAATCGATGCCTTCATGATGAAACTTTTCTTTGCCCCACGTACCATTGATTGATACCGATACGCTTGTGTGTTACGCCGAAGGGCGGTTATACAGGTTATAACGTTACAGATACAGACACCAAATCAAATATTTCTTGTGCCATCTATATACTAGTATGTCAAATAGTTTAGGAAAATTACAAGGTTCGTATTCTTTTTTTGGCAAATCTGATGAAGTATCGTCCCCTTGACTAACAGCAAGATTTATGGTCACTTATATGACACTGAGTTTCGTGGAGAGCTATTCAAACATACTCTCCAAGCAAAAGTTGGCTGGGAGGATTGTTTCTTTTCTATATAACTGTTATGCCCCGTTTTTTCTGTCGCTTGCGTTGGTGGAGGTAGCGACAAAAAAATACGTTACAGTTTTTTGCATTAAAACAGCAATAACAGAAATATATACAAGATAGCGTCAAACTCAAGTTCCATAAAACTTATATTAACAGTGCCATCTATACAAAATGATTAAACAGAGATATTACCTGGACTAATAGATAAATATAAAAAATCGAAACAAATTAATTGGGGTTTAGTAAATGGAATTCAACGAGCGCAAGTCCCAACCCCTATCCCGTAGAATTACTGATAGAACACGAGGAGAATAAGTAAAGTCAAAGAGATCAATCAGATACAAAACGACCACTTTTGATTATGAAATTCTGAGTAAAGCTCCTAATTTTACAATTAGTTTCAAAACTGCAAAAGGATGATCCGTAAAGTTAAAGATGTTCTAAAGAATAATCAGACAGAGAATTTACGTCCAAAATGTGTCCCACCACCCTTGAAAGTTGGCCGAAGAGAAGCCGACGCTGATAAGTGTAAGCTGGGCAGTGAAGTAAGAAGTGAGAAACAGTTTCACATAAACAGAGGTTTAGGCTTCGGCTTATTGTAGGACCCAATGATACCGTCCTCACAGGCTCACACGCTTATGGCCTCATCTTTGCAAGGATTAAAGTGCTTATAAACACGTTCTTTGATTTTATTACAACATCGATCTCTGCATCGTTTTCATGAACATCCTTCACTTTTAAAGTGTTTCGCCAGATGTCGTTAATGAACGGTGAAAATTTGCATATCAATGCGATCCAAGATGGTTGCCTTTTGATTCCTCTTAGTTCTTAGTGTCTTTAATCCGCTGAAAATCTCTCTAAAACTTTATCATCCGATGCTGAAACCCTCATTGATGGAAAGATAAGTATTTACCTGCGGTCTGCATTACCTTTTTGTCTTTTTTTGGACAGTCTA